AACTAGTAATGTTCTTACTCTAGACTGGAACTTTACATGGGTAGACATGCATTAGAAATAAAATGTTATAGGAAACTAGCAGTGTTATTACCCTAGACTAGAACATTACAATTATCAATCAACATGACAGTAAACTAGCAGTGTTAGAGCATCCACAATCACACTCCCTATTTCTTAGCTAAAATTTAGCTAAAAACACAAAAAAAAACTATTATAGGAGCTCTCTAAAAAATTTCAACTCCAACCATACTCCCTAATTTGGAGAGTCATAACTGTTTTACTTATTTTTATCATAAATACTTATTTTTAAATTTAATTCCTGATTTGCAATAAAATATTCATATTCAAATACTAAATATTCCAAAATAATAAACTACAATGATATTGTAAGTTTATTTGTTGTTCAATTTTGATATTCTATGGTTATTGTGGTTTGCAAAATACCTACAAGGAAAAGAACTTAAAAAAGAAAAAAATAAGGTGTTCGTGTGCTGCAAAATGTCTACAGTGAAAAGAATAAAAAAAAAAAAATGTTTGTTTGTGCTTTGCAAAGCACCTACAACTACGGCAAAAAGAATAGAACAGACGGTGTAGGTAGCTTGCAATAGAAAGTGATTACAAATATAAAATGCAGAAAAGAAAAAAAAAATTGATAAAATTAAAGATATCATTAAATAAATGTTTAAAATAATAATAAAATATGGTAGCATTTAATTATAGGAAGTCACTAGGAGCCCTTTCTCTCTCCTCAGATTTAGGAACTCCTAGAGGTCTCCCTATTTTAGGAGCTAGATAGGGAGCATGATTGGAGGTGGCTTTTTTCAATTCCTCCCCAAATTTTAGCTAAGGAGGTAGTTTAGGGAGCCCATTGTGAATGCTCTTATTACCCTAGACTGGAACATTACAGCCATGAATTAACATGACAATAAATGTGTGGAATATTATAATCATTAATCAACATGAAACGTTAATGAAGCTATTTAAAATTGGGTTTGTAATGAATTGTTTGGGTTTTTTTTATAAAATTGGGTTGGGCTTGTTTTGAGTGCTATTTAAGTTTTTTGTGTTGGGTTTCTTTTAAGTTAATCAATGGCAGTCACATAATTTATAGGAACTTCAACACCAATTTCTTATGTAGTAAATGAGTTTTGGATGTGTTTCTAAAGTGCATTCCATGTTGGGGGTTTTTTTTTATAATTTCAGCCCCTATTTTGGATATATTAGTGAAGCTCCCAATAATTAATCCAATCAATTTGGAAATTATTTGATTCTTACCATAATTGGAGATTTGATAATCAATCCCTAATTAAATCAAGAGTATTGCTAAATGAACCCTAAAATTAACTTAGTACACCATATCATCTAAATACACCATAATATTTTAATCAAAATATAAAATTAACTAAGTACATCCTATTTAACTACCAAAAATACCCTTGGTACACCCTAATACACTATCACACAACACCCTAATACTCTGTATAACTCTTCAACATCACACATATCTGTAATTAATTTCCCAATAAATACCCACTTTCATGTTATAATAAATATTTCTCCAAAGGATCTCTACTATGACCTACCATTTTTATGGACACAAAATCATGGATTTTTAAATCCCAGAAATATCTTGCTATGTGTCTAAAGTAGACAAACAAATTCTATGTAAAACCACCATAAAAGAATAGTTGGTAGTTCCATGGCACTCACCGTAGTCCGAGAAAGTAGCAAATTAACTAGGACCAATTACTTCACATTTTGATGTTTCTTGGCTTCATCCACAACGTGTTTCTGATCGGAGACTTGCTCAATGTTGTGGTCATTCTTTTGGAATTTTTCATTCTCTTTTATTCTAGTCATCGTACTTGCAAATATGCAATTGCGTCTCTGTCAATACTCGTTGCGTTGTTTGTCGTGGGCACCAATCAATATGAAAACTTCTCTACGTTGAATATGGTGAGTAGGGTGTACTTATTAAAATTACATTTGTTTCACAATTCAATGTATCTTTTTTGGTCATTTTATATTAAGATAAATTAGTAATTTAATAAATAGTTTGGTAATCAGTTAATTTTAAGGTTCATTTGGTAGTAGGTTGTACCAAATTGGGGAAGAATAATTCATTTCCATGTGCGGAATTATTCTTCCGAAACTCTAGCATCTGAAACTCCTATAAATACATGGCTATGCAAAAGGTTTGAGGTAATTCTAAGCCTACGTCTGAAACTCTGCATAAATCCCCTCTCACAAACCCTAGCCACCACACACAAACTCTCTCTCTCTCTCTCACAAGACTTCGGCCACCACACACGACTCCGGCCACCCGGTTCTCCCCAAGAGAAATCTCCGTACACTTTGTTAGCTACTGTTTTTCCTACACAAAGTCAACCTAACTCAAGCATCGGAGGGCCTTTGGCCAACACCCCCTAGGTGTGGTCTTTTCACTCCGTGTTGTTTTGTAGGGAGAAAGAGAAGCGAAGAGGAAGAAGGGATCTTCATACGAATATTCTTTGGGGACGAAAATCACTCCCACAAGTACCCTACAGTTGTACCCTTAAGGCTTGTTAATCAATGCACTTTCAATTTTAACAATGCAGTACCCTAGATTAGTCAATTTGTTACAATGTGGCTCTGTCGTTAACTAGATTGATCATCAAAAAATCAATTAAGTGGAGGCTTGGGTGGTGGTGAGTGGTGAGTGGTGAGTGGTGGTGGAGTGGGTTATGTGCTGGGTTAGCGAGAAAGGATTTTAAAAAAAAATTTAATTATTTAATATTTAATATTTAATTCCAACTAAGAAAAAAAAAGTAGGCTCCACAAATGACACGTCATTACTTAACTGATTTTATGAGGTCAACCTAACAACACAACTACATTGCAACAAATTGATCCAGGGAAAGTGCATGAACTACCATGCCTTAAGGGTACAACTGTAGAGTACCAAACTGAAATTAAGTAAACCCTAAAAGAGTTAAGGTAGGAAAAAATCCTAATTACAAGAGAACTATGTAAAAGGTAAGAAGTTGCATAAAAGAAAAGGAAACTAAAATTCCTAAAATAAAATAATTTTCACCAACTCCAACTCGAGTGAGAGGAAAGATAAAATGTGACAAAGGCATCATACTACCCTGTATTTTGGGTTGTTTAAATTTATTTTTATAATGTAAACAAATAAAACTATTAAAAAGTAAGACATAACAAAGTTCGACCAAAAAAAACAAAACAAAGTTAACTCTCTGTCAAATTGAAGTACTCATGTCAAGTAGATAGAGAGGGCACACAAAGGGACATTAATTTTGGGGACAGCAGATGCCAACCCATTTCAATGTGGATAGGAGTCATTAATTCCCATTCTTGAATGAGTTTAGATATAATGCTTGTAAAGTTCAAATTTGATGTAACAATTCCCATAAATAGCACATCCACCTGTCTTTTCATAACTTTGATCTAGAAGTTCTCTTACTCCAATGTGAAGACACTTTTTACAATCTGCATAAGAAGGGTCTCGAGTGTATTCAAGTATATTATAGATGATAGTCTTATTTATCACTGTTAGAGATCCTTGAGCATATGACGGTCCAAGAACAGTATTAGCAATTAATCCATTGAACAAGACATCAACTCTCTCTTAAACCAACGCGGGATTGTCAACAAATTTCCAATTCATCCCGTAAATTCCGTTTATCGTGTCAATTTTACCAAGGAAATTTGAATCTGAATATTTTAAGAGGCAACCTATCATCCAAATTAAAGCTCTTGTACTGAGTGGGCAACACTTAGACAATTCAAGTCTTGCTGCATTGAGACATCTTTCACATAATGCATACCTTAAATACACATTTTTCATGACTATTTTGTCCCCATTAACAATTTAGAATTACAATATAGCATTAAATGCATTCTTTTTTTATATTATATGGGTATAATTGAAAAATTAAACAAACTTTGTTTTACGTTCCTATGCAAACCAAACATGTGAAAGGAAATAAAGTGATATTTCTTAGTTACTTTCCAAGGATTACCAAACATGGGAAAAGAATCTTCATTTCTCATCCCTTGGGAAATGACACAGGAAGTGATTTCCCCTCAAATCCGTTCCGTGAAGCAAACGGGGCGTCAATGTACTAGAGAAGAAAAGGAGGGTAATGATGAATAGGAATTTTATACAAATTTTAGGTTTTTAGGTGAAATAAACTATATTATGGTTAATTTCAACTTAGTATCTTGAATTCTCACTCTTAAGGCATGCTTGCACTTGCACTTTCAATTTTAACAATAAAGTACCCTATATTTGAAAAAAAAAAATTTGCAATGTGACTCTATTGTTAGGATGGCAATTTAAAAATCTATTAAGTGATGATGTGGCTGTTTTTATAAAATAAGAATTTGATGCCCTGCCTAAACATTGGAGCTCTACCTAACATTTTAACATTTCGGGTGGAGATGCTTAAATGAGTTATATCTATAAATAATTAAAATCTCATCACTCATATATAAATTAAATCTCTAAACCTAAAGGAAAAAGGAGGACCTATATAATTCAACAAAGATTCATAAAGTATGTGTTTGGGGGTGGTCAAATTTTCCCAAATCCGCCAAGGTGAGATCCGCTGAGATAAGGCCCACTGAGGTCAGATTCGCCAAGGTGCGATCCGCTAAGGTGAAATCCACCAAGGAAGAATCTCCAATCTTCCGGAGGGCTGGTCTCTAATCTGCCAATTCGGAGACCTCCAAATCCATCAAAAGGTTGGTCTCCAATCCGCCAAAGAGGAATCTCCAAATGCTCAGGAGGGTTGGTCTCCAATCTGCCAAGGAGGAATCTCCAAAACCACCAAGGTGAAATCTGCCGAGGTGAGATCCGTCACGGTAAGATCCACCAAGGAGGAATCTCCAATCCTCCAACAAGAGGTCTACCTAGACCAAATCCACCAAGGGGGGACCTCTCATTGGCCAAGTATGTGGCCTCCCATCGGCCAAGCCTAGAACTCTAGAGGTTTAGAATGTCATATCCCGAGATTGGCTCCGCCATAGCACTCTTTGGGCCCCCCTCTCTGCCCTCACAGTTTTATTTATGGGAACTCAATAACAACTTCCCAGTGGGTCACACATCATGGGATTACTCTAGTCCCAATTTGCTTGACTTCGAAGTTTCCAAGACTCCGAAGCCAGTGAGCTCCCAAAAGGCCTCGTGCTAGATAGAGGCAAGTATGTACATATAAGGCACATCACCACCTCTCCGTTGGTCGATGTGGGATGTTACAATCCACCTCCCTTAGGGGCCTAACGTCCTTTTTGGCACACTCGCACCACACGGTAGAGTGGTTCTGATACCAAATTGTCACATCCAGGAATCGGCTCTGCCGTAGCACAATATTGTCTGCTTTGGGCCCCCTTTTCTACCCTTACGGTTTTGTTTATGGAAACTCACGAGCAACTTCTCAGTGGGTCACCCATCCTAGGATTGCTCTAGCCCCAACTCGCTTAACTTCAAAGTTCTCATGACTCCGAAGCCAGTGAGCTCCCAAAATGTCTCGTGCTAGATGAAGGCATGCATGTACATATAAGGCACATCACCCCTCTTCGTTGGTCGGTGTGGGATGTTACAATCCACCCCCTTAGGAGCCCAACGTCCTCGTCAGCACACTTACATTATATGGCAGAGTGGCTCTGATACCAAATTGTCACATCCCCAGATCGGCTCCGCCGTAGCACGATATTTTCCGCTTTGGGCCCCCTTTCTGCCCTCACGATTTTGGTTATGGGAACTCACGAACAAGTTCCCAGTGGATCACCCATCATGGGATTGCTCTAGCCCCAACTCACTTAACTTCGGAGTTCCCAAGACTCCGAAGCTAGTGAGCTCTCCAAAGGCCTTGTGCTAGATTGAGGAGGGCATGTACATATAAGGTACATCACCCCCTTTCCGTGAGTCGATGTGGGATGTTACATAGAATTCCAAAGACTTAAAAGTCACAAGGTTCTGTCAGATGTCAAGCCAAAGTTTCGTAGGTCCAAGCCCAACCCACGAAATCATACCCAAGATTTCCGAAGGATTTTCATGCACATGGCAAAATTCATACAAGGAAATTGATGACAATCCAGAATATTCCAAATAAAGAGAGAATCAAGCAATCAATCCCAATACAATCCCATATATTTAAGCGAAGGGAGAAGGGTTGCCTTACATTCCTAAACTTAGGATTTTACTTTCAAGCACGTAGACTAGACTAGTTCTTCGTTTTCCAAGTGTAAGTTTAATTTCTTGCAATTTACATTATCTTGTTTTTAAATTCATGTTCAGTTAAATTATTTTGTTATCGACTTCCCTTTAAGTTTAATCTTAGTTCTTTATCGTTCTTGCTATTTTCATTATGTTCTTAAATTTAATTTACATTTGTTTATAGTTTAATTTACATTTGTTTATCGCTTTGATATAATTTATTGCACTTTAATTCTTGTCATTTAGTTTAGTCACATATTTAATTTATTTGCATCATTCTCACTAAAAAAAAATCCATACGAAGCCTAATCATCCTCGAATCTGAGGAAGTGAAAGAACCTAGGCGAAGAAGAGATTCCTTGCTTGGCCGATCAATCGTTTGCTCTGAAGTCAAAAGCGCAACACATCCATCCAACCCTTTCTATCCAAGCCATTTAGTGGCTTGATGGTGGCACGCCTATGCATTTTGAAGAATGACCAAAAGTTCCTTCTATCGACCACCTTGGCCGAAAATAGAGAAAGGGTATGGAAAAAATAAAAGGAAAATAATATTTCTTTATAGGTATAGTGTAATTAAACAAATTTGTAGTACGAAAATCAAGTTATTAGTTAGTAACAACACACACGTGTATATATATATATATATATATATATACATTAGAGGAAATCAAGCCCTAAACCTATAATAACCGTAACTCTTTTCTACATCCTTGAGACTTAGATTTTCATAGGAAAGTTTGAGTTCCCATTCCATTGAATCTCCATCCAAATATCCAAAATATCACTTTTCAAGTGTGCTTGCATGCAGTGGCGGAGCCACAGTGGGGTCAGTGGGGTCGCATGACCTCTTAGAACCCATGGAAATAGGCTTAGATGTCCCCTGGAGCTGGAGGAGAGACCCCTTGGAGCTGCACACCAAGTGTTCGACGTTTTTCTAGAGAAATTAAGAAACTGTGCGAGGAAGAAGAAGCGTTGCTGTTTTTATAAAACATCCTGGGCAAAACGACGTCATTTTGACCCAAGAGTGTTTAAAAAGATGGCCTGGCCCACCAACTCCCCCCAAAGTCCAAACACACCCAGTACCTCCATCCATTGCTTTCAATCATACAACCCTTCGTATTGGCCAACCCAATACCAAATCTGGAAAATATTGGCCAGCATTTAGTATACACCTCTGCCCAACAACCCTTCGTATCTCCCATTTGATTGGGTCGTCTTGTCCCCAAATTCTTAAATAAATGTAATAAAATATCATATCTCTGCTCCCTTCAACTCTCCTAAAATCCCCAAATTCTATTATTTCTCTACCCTAAGTTCTCACTAAACCTCCCCACACCCCCCCCCCCCCCCCCCCCCCCCCCACCACCAAAAAAACCCTCAACATGGCTGAAAATTTTATTCTCCTCCCTCTCTATCTCTGATTTTTTAAATTTATTGTTCTTGGTATACTTAAACCTCTGTGTTACATTCTTTTGTTTGATAATAATCTATAATATTTTTATTGGATAATGATTTATTGGAATGGATGAATATTGATGATTTTATGTGTATCGATTTATTGGATTGGATTGATTATTTGATTTGTTGGAATTTAGGGGTTATGATTACTTTGTGATGGACTTCTTGTCCTCTCTCTGTTTGTTCATCTGTCTTAATAAAATTTTATTTCCTTTTTAAAAAATGGTTAATTGTTTGGTTTGATTAATTCATGTGTAGAATTATAGAACACTTACGTATCAGTAATGGAGAAACTAAGGAATCAGAGAATTTAGGAATCGGAGAACTACTGAATCGGTATGGGAAGAATCATTCCCATTAAGCTGTTTACTAAACATATGGAATTAGCAATGGAATGGGATTGATTCCCATTGTTATTGTTTACTAATTTGCATGAATCAGAATCCAAATTAATTTTAGAATTATGGTAAAGTGATAAGGGTATTTTTGGAAGTTATTAAGAGAAAACAGGAATGAGAATCGTATCGACTACTCCCCCCAGTTGATCTGATTCCTAGTTTTGAGGGAATGTGATTACGGATTTTGAGGTGGGGCCCACTTATTTTTTCATTCCTGATTGCAAGTAAACGCAGGATAAGTCAGGAATGGAAATCATTCCCTTTCCTCTCATTCCCATTACTGATACGTAAACATGCCCTAAGAGGAAAGTACTAGAAAATTATCTTTTAGTAGTGTTACTTTCTTCTTAAAAAAAATATCGAAACTTTTATACTAAGACCCCTTGAGATAACAATCCTAGATCCGCCACTACTTGCATATAACCGCATGTTACATATTATCACCACATGATCAGTATCATTCTCTCTACGCCCGGCAGGTAACCGCATGTTGATTTGATTTGGGTTCTTTTAGGACCACTCAAGAAGACATATATTTAAGTGTGACATAGAGAAAGTGGCTTTTTTCATATATAAACTAAGATATTAGCCAACTCTAAAGCTTCTTTATGTAGATCCTTCAGAACAAAGATAGGTTTGTCTCCCACCTACACCTACATTCCCAAGTTTTGTTACTTCAGAGGCTTTCCTTCACATGCTTGTACATAGGAAAGGCAGTGGTTTCCTTTACTTTAATAGAAGCCTCCCATTTGTTTGGTATTATTAAAGAAGAACCTAATGAACGGGTGCCTTATTTGATTTCAAATTACAGATACCTTCTGGCTTTTTTTCTGGAAATTTATATTTGCAGATTTTTTTGTTCCAGCTGACCCAATTATTGACTACCCATAATGTTTTTTCATTGCCACCAAGACAAAATTCTTCATTTTTTTACAAATAAATTTGACAAGTCGTGTTTTACCATGTTCATGTCGTGCCATGTGAAATTATCTTAAATTTAAATTTAAATATGACTCATCAACTTACCGTGTTCAAATTATTAAACTCAAACTCATTTGGGTATCATCAAGTCAACCACCTAGTTACCCTCACAAAAGATATACAAATACTGAAAATTTAGAGAATGTATACTAGAGAATCAATTGATAAAGGTTAAATCCCATATATTTATAAACTAGGGTGATTTTTTTCTTTTTGTTTTTTTGGTTGTTGAGAAAAACGATATATTCAAATGACAAGAAAATATTATAAAAGATCCTCAACTAGCACATTCTTGAATGATATTAGGCGGACTCCTATATCATGAACACGTGTTTTCAATCGACAAAGCAAAACAAGCTAATCTATGGGCCACTAAAGCAGAAAGCAGAATATTACAGTCTTCAATCAAGAATAAAAAATCCACTAAAGCATGAGTTTATAAACTAAGGTGAATTCGTTAACAATAGAAAGTGACAATTCATATACGTTGGCCCCTCAATATTCATCTAATAATGAATATATATATTGTTACAATAATGAATATCTATCTGTTAAGCAATGCTTTCGAAGTTTCAATGGCCTTCATAAGGTCCCTCATTATTGAATATGTCGAGTAATAAAGGATTGAATGATAATCCGAGATCATTTATGAATGTAGTTGAAAGTGGGTTCATTTCTAATTATGTTCAACTAATTTCTTATGAGTTACCCATGAATTGATGAGTGGTAAAAAATTGGGTGGTGCCGACTTCATATTTTTAGGTAATGGCTAGTAGAAAACTATTCTCTTATTTGATTGATAGTATATACGGTATAATATGAAACAATTTTGGGATGACAGTGTTTTAATATGAGTGGACGACATGGTTTTTGTTTCATCGTTTTATAGTGTATTAATAATAAATGAATAAACGTATTATAGCATTAGTGGATTAGTAACACCACAAAATAGTGTGACTGTGACACTAAAAAATTTCTCGGTGTAGTATTAACAAACAAATCTATATGTTTCAAGATGAGTAAATTCATAATATGATGTGATGCGAGTTGACGTGATTTATGTATATTGATAGAGAAATAGAGAAAGTGGTGAGGTCTATCACCTTAGATTATTGTTGTTAATAATAGTGCAACATGT